AGATCTGAGTGGTAGATCAACACTTACATAAAATACAACAATAAATTTCTCTTTTTAAAAAATGCATCTAACAAAATTAAATGCAAATCTTCTCCAAGGGAACTCATCTCATTCAAGACCTCAAAAAAAAATCTCCCACAAACAAAATTCTAAGGAAAATTAGCATATCATATCACTGTTGAAAACAATCTAACATGCATGGAAAAAAGATACCATATTCAAGAACCAAAAGAAACAATAAATAAGAGAAATAGACTTACAAGGACATTTGCTCTAGATCTGTAAGAGCTTAGAGAGAAAACTAAAACTTTACGAATAGGCATTAAAGACCAAGTAAACAGATGAAGAGATACACCCTGTCTAAAAAATTGAAAGACACTATTACAAAAGTGTTAATTATCCTCAATGTGTTCTATGACTTCCAATGCAAAGCCCACTAGGATTTTTTATGAAACTTGAAACGCTAAATCTAAAATTTATATGAAAAGTTAAAGGGAAAAAATAGCCAAGACACTCCTGAGGAAGATCAAGTCAGTGAGGAGACTTATCCTGCCAGATATCAAGTAGTATTATATAAAGCTATAGAAATTAATACAGTGGGGTATTGGTACAGGGACAGAGAAATCGACCACAGTGGAACAGAACAGAGAGCCCAGAAACCAACCTATGCATTTATGAAAACTTGGTATGTGGGAGATCTGATAGGGCAGAGTACTGAAGAAATGAGGGTGAGGCAATTGGTGGCATAGGCAAAAGTCGATTTCCAATATAGTAAGGATTTAAAGAGAAAAGAAAAACTTTACAGTTTTTAAAAGAATGCATTGGAAAATATCATTCCAACCTCAGGGCAGAAAGGATTTTTTAAACAAGAAACAAAAGGACTAACCATAACAGAAAAGATCGATAAGGTCAGCAATATTAAAATTGAGAACTATTATTCAAAAGGACAATGTAAAGATACAAAAACAGAAGCCATGAACTGGGGGAGGTTACTCGTAACACACATAACTGATAAGAGATTTGTATCCAGAATATAAAATGCCTATAAACCAGTAAAGTACCAAGGATATTTATAACAGCAAAAACAAACAAAACAAAACAAACTAAATAATTGAAAGGCTCATCAACAGGAAATAAAGTGTGGCTGCATAGATCAACATGAATGAATCTTACAAGCATACTGAATAAAAAAAAGCAAATCACAGAAAACTGAAAATATTATAGTATCATTTTTATAAAAACTTTAAAGCAGGTAAAACTAAACAGTATTTTTCAGATTTCCTAAAAAATGTAAAAATATTATTTTTTAGGGGGGTGAAGGAATGATGACAAGAAAAAAAAATTAAGGATAGAAGCTCCTCTGGTGGAGGGACAGTTTGACAAAAAAGGGGCACACATCGATATGTTCTAGTTGATTATGTTCTGGTTATTTTATTGGGTAATGGGTTCTTGGAATTCACTTTATGATGCTTCTTAATCACATCAGATTTATCAATATTGACACTATTGACATTTGGGGCTGGATAAATCTTTGCTGGAGGGGAGGGGGTTTGCCCTGTGCATTATGGGATGTTAGTAGCATCCCTGGCCTCTGCCCACTAGGGGCCAGCACAGCCACTGATGTATGTACATGTTACACATTTTTTGAATGTTTAAATGTTCCATAATAAAACAAAGTTTAAAAGTGGTGAATAGAGGTTTCATTTGTGAAGCGCAGCTAGAAAGTGATCATTAAGAGCTGAAAAAGCCAGAGCCTGCCATAGGCCTTTGAAGTGACAGGGTCAAGCAATGAGAGCTGATAGTTTCAGGAAGGTTTTGACTAGCAGTGATATTTCTAGACATGGCACAGGGTACTGGGAAATCAAAGACTCCAGACACATTGGAGGAACACTTCTGCAACATCTCTCAATTCTTTGGGAAATCCAAAAGCTTAGTTTAGCCTTGTAATTTTAATTTTTTTTCTCTGAATCTACTTTTATTTTTATTTATTTTTTTATTCAGTTATCATTGATATACAATTTTATGAAAGATTCACATGAGCAACACTGTGGTTACTACATTCACCTATATTATCAAGTCCCCCCTATCCACATCCCATTGCAGTCACTGTCCATCAGCATAGTAAGATGCTATAGAGTCATTACTTGTCTTCTCTGTGCTCTACAGCCTTCTCTGTGACCCCCCTACATTATGTGTGCTAATCATAATGTCCTTTAATTCCCTTCTCCCTCCCTCCACACCCATCCTCCCTACCCCCTTCCCTTTGGTAACTGCTAGTCTCTTCTTGGAGTCTGTGAGTCTGCTGCTGTTTTGTTCCTTCAGTTTTGCTTTGTTGTTATACTCCACAAATGAGGGAAATCATTTGATATTTGTCTTTCTCTGCCTGGCTTATTTCACTGAGCATAATGTCCTCCAGCTCCATCCATGTTGTTGCAAATGGTAGGACTTGTTTTCTTCTTATGGCTGAATAATATTCCATTGTGTATATGTACCACATCTTCTTTATCCATTCACTTACTGATGGACACTTAGGTAATTTTAATTTTTTTAATCTGTTATTAATTTTTTAGAAACAGGGCCTTATGTTTACATAAGAACTTTCAAGCAATTATGAAGTTCACACATTTTGCTACCTTTGAAGAGGTGGCTATGACTACAAAACCACCACACATCTAATTGTGGCCCCCAAATGACTGGATTTTTCCAGAGCTAAGATTCACGTAACAGAACACCACTGCTCTAGGAGGATGATTGATCTCATATTCACTACTGCACTCCACTAATCCAAGAGCCTTCCCAGTGATGTGGTTCTACTTTATAGCATCTACTTGGTTCTCTACTTGCACTACAATTTCATTTAACCTCTCACGAGAAGAGTTTATTACCCTCATTTTAAAAACCAAGAAGCAGAGACACAGAGACATTACAGGACATCTCCAGATAACAAAATCCACAGTAACTGATTAGAAATGGAATTGGCAGGAAAATCAGGTCTACTGAGTCTTGGTCTTTATACTTTTTTCACCAAGCTCTGAACTGTATGTGGGCATGCATGAGCATGAGTGTGCAAACAATGTGTTGTCTGTGTGTGTGTGTGTGCAGTTTAAAAGTGTATGTGTGTTTCTCTAAGAACAAGAGGAAAAGACAAAGGATTGGAGAGAAGAATTAGGAGGAGAAGCATGGCAAAAAGCTGATTCAAAAGATTACTTTAACTGTAAAAACTCACAGAATGATTTTAAAAGTCAGATGAGATGATGTATTTGAAAGCACTTTATGTTTCCATAGATAAATGTGATTGCCATTATTAGGATTATTATTAAAAACA